AAAAACAATTCTGGGTTGGGGATGTGGCTCAAGCTGTAGTGCGCTTGCCTGGCATGCGCGCCCGCTGGGTTCGATCCTCAGCACCACATACAAATAAAGATGTTGTGTCCGCCGAAAACTAAAAAAAAATAAATAAATATTTTTAAAAATTCTCTCTCTCTCTCTCTCTCTCTCTCTCTCAAAAATTAAAAAAGAAGCCTTATACAATAGTTTAAAAAAATAAAAACAATTCTGTTATTTATTTTTATTAACAAATAAAAATTGTATATATTTGTGGTGTACCACATGATATTTTAAAATACATAATAATTTTTAAAAAATTTTACTTTTTAGTTATAGGTGGACAAAATATCTTCATTTTATTTTTATGTGGTGCTGAGGATTGAACCCAGTGCCTCACGCATGCTACACAAGCGCCCTACCTCTGAGGCACAACCCCAGCCCATAAAATACATAATCACTTTTATTTTACAAAGTTATAATTGCTCTGTACATATACTTTTTCAATAATTTCAGATTTTAAAAACATACAAAAGGTAAAAAGAAGAGTGCATAAATAAAAAGAATGCTGCATTTTGTAGGCATGTCATCTGCCAATAAAAAGTTAAAATACAGTAAAGGAAGGAAGAAAAGAAGGGAAAAAAAGAAGTCATGTACCATGGGTTGGATATGGTTGTTCCTTACAGGTTTGTGTGCTTGGTCCCCAGTGGGTTGATATTGAGGTGATGAATCTTTAAGAGGGGGATCCATTGGAAGGTAATTAGGTCATGGGGTGCAGCCCCTGGAAGGGATTAATGTGAGTCTCATGGCTGGATTAGTTCCTATGCGAATCGGTTATTATAAGGGAGCCTGGCACCTCCCTTTCCTCTTCTGCATGTACCACTGCCACTCTCATACTCACTGCTGCCATTGTCATGCCATTTGGCATGAGGCCCTCACCAGAGATGAATAGATGCTGATGCCATGTCCTTAAACCTTCAGAACTGTGAGCTAGATAGACTTCTTTTCCTTTTAAAGTACCCAGCCTTAGGTATTTTATTATAGCAGCTGAAAATGGACTAAGACACTACTAAACAGAAACAATGTGCTGACAAACCTTCTAATCCTCCCATATTCACATATAAGAGTTAGTTCTCTTGCAATCCTAGATTCTACAAATGGACAAATTCTAAACCATCCTTAAGCCAGGCATGGTGACATGTCCCTGTAATCCCAGCAACTCTAGAGGCTGAAGTTCAAAGGAAGATCAAAAGTTCAAAGCTGGCCTCAGCAACTTAGTGAGAACCTCAGCAACTTAGAGAGACCCCATCTCAAATAAACAAAATAAAAAGGGCTGGGGGTGCTGGGGATGTGGCTCAAGCAGTAACGCGCTCGCCTGGCATGCACGGGGTGCTGGGTTCGATCCTCAGCACCACATACAAATAAAATAAAGATGTTGTATCCACCGAAAAACTAAAAATAATAAATATTTAAAAATTCTCTCTCTCTCGCTCTTAAAAAAAAGCGGGGGGGGGGGGGGGGCTGGGCATGTGTCTCAGTTGTTAGCGCCCCTGGGTTCAATTCCCAGTACAAAAAAAAAAAAAACCCACCACCAAATCATCCTCAAATCACTTTTCTCCAGGCCCATTATGTATTTTTTAAATATGTTTTTAGTTATAGGGAGACACAATACCTTGGTTTTATTTATTTATATGTGGTGCTGAGGATTGACCCCAGATCCCCACACATACTAGGCGAGTGCTCTATTACTGAGCCACAACCCCAGTATTTTTTAAAGACATCACTAGCCTTACTCACTGGAACTACTAGTTATTGGCCACTCCAGCTAGGCCTCCAGTTTCTTGCCCTGCTCTCTCCATATACCCCTTCTTCCTAAAGCTTCCAGCCTGCATGTTATGACTGTCTTTTCTTCACACACCTTCTTTCTATCCAGTATTGCTTCTAGCAACGTGGATTTTATTGTTGTTTTTGCTTTACAGAAATATGAAATATTTTAATTCTTTTCAAAATCACATACAGGGCTAGGGAGATAGTTCAGATGGTAGAGTGCTTGCCTCGCATGCATAAGGCCCTGAATTCAATCCCCACCAACACACACACACACACACACACACACACACACACTAATACTACATATACTTTCAGTGATAAATTGCTATACAATAGCCACATCAATGTTTCTGATATTACTCTTACATTTTCTTCATCTCTGTTGAAATTTATACTGTTCTTACTGTGAATATGCTTATGTTGTTAAAATTTTGCATATTTTCAGTTCCATTTTAAATGACCATATCAAAGAATTGAATACCTTCCAAGGACCTGAAAAAAATTGAAACCATTCCCTGATTATTGGATACTTTATACACATAATTTTGTAAATTGCTTTTTGTATTCCCTTTTCTAAATCTTTCTAAATTCAGTGCATATATTTTCTACATTATATTAAGTATCTACATAGCATTTTATAATAAGGATGTAATTTTGTCATTTAAAAAGATGGATACTGTAATTTTCCCTTTTGAATAATTAATATACTTCATACTGCAAAAATCAGGAAAAAGTGAAATGACATATAATGAAAAGACTCTCTCCTTTTTCTTAGTCTGATCTCCCCAACAATATCTAACCTCCTTTCTTAGGATCTTATATGTCCTTCCGGATTTATTTAGGCAGATGCAAGCAAATGCAAATGTCATTTTCTACTTTTGTCTTTTTCTTTTACCAGAATGTAATCTATTACTTACACTGTTACTCATTTTGCTTTTTTGACTTGGTAACTTAAGCTTGGAGATCGTTCTAACTCAGTGCACAGAGTTTCCTCATTCTTTGCTCTACAGCTGCTTGGCTTCCTTCTGTATGGGTGCCATCCTTGACTTCCATATGATAGACACTGTGGTCATCACTTTGACTACTGATCTCACCCCTCCCTATTATCTCCAAAACTTTGCCCCATCCTTTATCCACCTCAGTTCTTTTTACTTGACCCTTATTCCAGTGTTGGGGTATAAACCCAGGGCCTTAATGCATGATGGGCAAGAGCTTCACCACTGAGCTACATTTCCCCGATCAGCTTTTTTTTCTTTCTTTCTTTCTTAATTACAAGCATGTCAGGTCTCTTGTACATTAAAAGAAGACTTTCTCTTTACTCTGAGGTTGCTTAACCTCAAACCTCTAGACAGAGGTGCCTGCAGTCTCCATTCACAGCTTCCCTTTCACCACAAATTATTTCCTTAACGTTTTGTGATCTGTCCTTATCTTATCTATTAAAACTGATTTCTGGAAGGTCAACTAATAGCAGCATTCAGCAGCTTGACCTATTTCTCCGTTCTCATCCTTGTAACATCTGAAAATGGATACCTACCCTTTGCACACCCATGCACAACCTTAACCTCTTGTAAAACGGCTTCTGCCTGCCCTGCCACCTTCATGCTAATGCTGATCTCCAGTTAATCATCCATCCTGTTCATGGTCATTCCCCCAGTACCCTGGTCCTAGCTCACTTCTTTGACCCTCACCCCTGGTTCTTCTGTCAGCCCTGCCCCCAACCATTGTCTAGTCTTAGAGGTTTTATCTTTCCAGTGGTTTCGTTCCTATCCTCATCTATTATTCTATCCACTAATTCTAAATCAAATCCTAATTTCTGATTATCTGGACTACTAAATAGAGGTTCCTAATCTACCTTTGTTTCTCCAGTCTCTCTCCCACTCTAACTGAAAACAGCAGATCTTATATCATTCCCTTTTTCAAAACTCGTATTTCCATATCAATTAAGCACTAACTTCCTGATCTGATATTCAAGTCCTTCCACAATTTTAACTCAAGTTGACATGTATTGGCATTAGCCAGTGTTACTGAGCATACCATATCTTCTGGCCAAAAGTAATCTGCTGATTTTTTAATCAACACATGGTGTGTTTTTGGACCTCCAAGTTTGGTTGGATCTTTTTGTCCACATGTATAACACTTTCCCTCCGTCTCTGCTTTTCTAATCTCACTTGTCATATCTTTGCTAAACTTCTCCCAAATATAAAATAATTATTTGCACAGTAATCATATTTACATATTGGCTTCTAAATTCTGTTAAAACAAAATACTCCAGCTAGTGAGTTCTTCTATGTGAGAGGTGTGTGCTAAGTGATCCACATGAATCATCTCATTTAATCCTTACATTGACATGCTTCAGCCAGGATGCTCCCCAATTAACAGTAAACAAAATGAGTCTGCAGAGATTAAACTATCTATGATCATTCTAATGATAGTGAAATCAGATTCTCCCTGAAATTCATTGCTTATTACTTATTGTAGCCAACCCAACTTACAACATCCACTACCTACATGAAATTCAATAGGTGCAAGTCCTATCAGCACGTTAAAAACGGTGTCTGCATGTAGACCAAGATTTAAAGAGGACCAGGTTGGGGGGATTGCGACAGTAATAAATTAGGATGGAAAGATTGATGACGATGTTTCCAAACCTCCACTATTGGGTTATAGGATTTTTGAAATAAGCATTTAAAAGACACAGTTGCACAGGATTGCATTTGCTCTTAAAGTCTCCGATTATTACCCGTTGGTTAGTTTTGTCTCCCTGGTTTTATTTTCATCCTTCTCAGGATTATCTCCATTCTCTTGCATTCCCACAGCTTTCGGAGCATTGCTCAACACACACAGTGCGTACTTGTTGATTTTAACGTATGTGTGTGTTTGCATGTGTGCACCGCAACTGGGAGGAGGGCGTGGGTGTGGAATGCAGTGCGCATTCCTCTTCCTCATTCTTTTTTCCTTGAGCAGCTGCAGTCTGGGATGCTTTCCTTCTCCAGGGAGGAGACAGAACCGCTGACCCTTTAACAAGTTGTCCCTCACAGAACAGGTGTCTCCCCCGCCTCTCGCAGGAGGGGGATGGCTGGATACTTAGTGACATCAACCATTGACCAATGAGAAGTCAGGCTTTGGCAGCCTCGCCAATGGGCGTCCGGGGGCCGGCCCAGTTTCCTGGGAGCCGGGCTGGCCGGGCTGGTCCTGCGGCGGCGGTGGAGTCTCCGTAGCTCACGCTGCCGGTGGTGGCTCCCGCGGCTCCCGGCGGCGCCGTTCCCTGCCCGCGCGACTCTGCGACGCACTGCTCCGGCGGCTCCCGCCGCGGCGAAGCTCCGGGGCCGCGCGGTTTCCCGCGGTGGCGCGGCTCATGTCCCCGGGCGCGGGGCGCGCAGGTGGGCCGGCCGCCGCTGGGAGATAGGCCCCCGGGGGCGGCCGCGGTGGACTATGGCACGGAGACCCGGGGCGCCGGCCCCCTACGGGGAGGAGTTCTCCTTCGTCAGCCCGCTGGTGAAATACCTGCTCTTCTTCTTCAACATGCTTTTCTGGGTGAGTCTTGGGGGTACCTGGGCGGCAGGGTACCCCTAGAGGTGCAGGGGTTGCCCGCAGCAGAGGAGGGGGCGGCTCGGGATGCCCGGTGACAAGCGAGCGGGGATAGTGGCATTGCCTAGTTTTCTGGATTTACGACACTTTGGGGGCATTTCTCCTGGGGAGGGACATTACATTGATGCCTCTTCAGGAAAGGGCGTGGGGAGGGGTGCAGAGGGTTCAGTAAGGACAAGGGGTCTATGGCAGGCCAAAACGGTGGGTTCAGGGGAGGAGCAGGTGTTCCTGTTGGTCAGGGCAGCCCCCCTGGCACATTCACGATTGGGGACTTTCAGGCCAACAGGCTGGGAGGCCCCGCTGGCAAAGAAGAGGGAGGAAAACCCCAAGCCTCAGCTCTTTACCTCAGGGAGGATGGGTCAAGGGGTTGCATCTCTTCCTTTTTGAGGCGTCTTCAGATGCCCCTTCCAACAAAGAAGAGAGAGGAATGGCCTCCAGGTCGGATGTCCTTCCCATCCCAGCACTGTCCCAAACTTTGCCCTATCCCTTTCAGGACGAGACGTGTCTTGGAGCCTGGACTCTTTAAATAGGACCTTGTGTTGGGCTTGAAGGCTAGGGATCCTTTCAGAACATTCTTGGGGTTGGAAAAAGTGGAAAAAATACCTGGATTGGGGCTCCAGGCTCCCAGGTTTCCATCCCCAGTGTGCCATCATCATTGTTGATTGAGCTGGGCAAATATGTTCAAGTCTGCAGGCCTTTGTTCCCTCTGCCATAAAATGAAACCCAGTGTGATTAGGGTTGGCAGAAATACTCTGCCAGAGCTGAGAATTCAGCTGGACCAGATAGCGAAATGCTAGCTCCATCCTGGTTCATGGCTAGAGAGTCCCTGAGCTCCTCTGGATTTTAGAACACAGAAAAGTCCTTTCCCCATTTCTCTGCCTGCTCCTATCACACCAGAGCTGCCACTCTGGGAGTGTGTCATCCTTGCCCACCTCAGCCTGAGACCTTTACTTTCAGATTTACAGGAGGGAAGAATTGTGAGTCTAAAATATATTTCCTAGGAGAAGGAGCAGACCAGACATCTGAGCCAGCTGCTGGAAAGGTTTCACAGGGGCGGTGGTGTGAAGTACAGACACAAAGTACATAAGTGCTAGCCTGTTGGGACAAATGAGAGAAATCCCAGAGGGTGGTGATGACAGCTCACTCTCAGCCGTTGTACTCTTGGGAAAATTGGAGTTTGGGCTTCTATCAAATTCTCAGTTCTAGAACTAGAACTAGAAAAAAAAATTAGCAGGCATCTTGTCCAGCATCCACATTTTATGTATGAGAAAGCTAAGTCATAGTGATGTTAAATGTTTCCTCTAAGGTCCAACAGCTGGTAGCAGGCTTGGTATGATGATTTTTCTACTGAACCAGGGTGCCTGTAGGGGAAGTCCTTGACCCAGATGGCTGCTACCAGAGCTGGGGTAGTGACGGTATTAGTAGTTAACCAGTCAACCCAACTTCCTGTGGTGTGGCTTCTGTTTCTGCCCAAGGTTAGGGGAAAAACAGAAGAAAAATCCCTCATCACCCTCCGCTAGGATAGGGGGAATGTACTACCCCGTAGGGACAAGTGCCAATGAAGTCTTCTTCATATCGTTGAGTGTGCCAGGCCAGGACGTGATATCTTCAGAGCCAGCACTAGCAACCTAGGTAGCTCAGGTTCTCATTGGTTTTCTTTCTTAGCCAAATCTCTGTTTGTTATCTGTATGCTGCAGCAACAGCATCTTACCCTGATGTTTATGGTCATTTCTTGGACTTCTGTGTTCCACCCTGCTCACTTTTATCAGACAAATGACTTTGGGAGGTCACAGCTAAAGAGAGAGAGTTTGGCTTCATAGACATATTTACCCTGGTAAGAAATACTTCATTCAAGGTCAGAGGACCTGGCTAGCCAGCCTGGCACCACCCCAAATTAGAGTAGAGCCCCTTCTTGGTCCTACTATGAGCTCAAAAAGTCAGAGTCTCTATAAATAGCACAGAAAAGGATAAGAGGCACAGCTTCTTTCTGGCACCAACTTACTGTGTGACCCTAAGCCAATGTATCTGTCTCTCTGTCCTTAATCTTTCTATTCTAAAGGAGAAATGTGTCTGCCTTTGTGAACTATTTAAAGATGAATGAATCACTTTGGGTACTGTTTTCTTTCTTGAGACCTGGAGCTGGATCTAAGAATGAATCTGTGTCCTGGTATCCCTGGGACATTGCCCTTCCTAGGGTACAATACTTTTCAGTGATTATCGAGTGTCATTTCTCTCCCAGGCCCAGAGCCGCAGCTACAATGTACACCCATGCAACTAGAGCCGAAGAGTGGCTTTCCCCAGATCAGGGGTCAACTTTCTTCCCTCCCACTTCAGGGACTGGTTACTATGCTTTCTTATTTGCAAGCTTTCACTACCTCAACAAATTCCCCTCTTCTGCCTGTAAACACCCATGGCTAGGACTGATGGCCTATACCTTTGCAGGCAGAGTGAGTTTCATGCCAGCTGCTGGGGTGCTTTGTAGAGGAGGTGTTTGTGTCTGTGTTTAAACACATTAGGAAGGTGGCTGGCATCACCTGGACTCCTACTCAGTGAGCAGCACTATCTCTGCTGCTCTTCTAGAAGCCCTAATTCTTGGGGCATCTGGAGTCTGACTCAGAAAGCTGCGGACTCCCTTGGAACCAGGACCAATTCCTCCTGTTTATGTTTCAAATCTCACTTCCCCTTTGGTCTTGGAGTTCTGATTTTTCTCCCCAGAATCATGTTCCTTCAAGACTGATTGTTGGGTTTTTATGCCATAGAGTAGTTGCTCCTACAGCCTAGAAGTTGTATTTAAACCTTGGAGAAGTAGCTGCCTTTCCTCATCTCCCTACATTGGACATCTCGGTGCTGAGTTAAGACACAAGGATGGTACATGCTTTATCAGCCTTGGGCATATGTTGTCAGAAATATTATCAGTGCTGCCCAAGTCCTCTATTGCTGGCCCTTTTTCCCACTCAGGGTAGCAGTTAGAGATCCTGTTGAGTCAAGAAGAGCCCAAGAGCTCAGATCTTCAGCCCCTATATCTCAGCTCATGTATCTTTGGTAGCTTTGCCCCTAGGCTCCCGTGGCACCTTGTATATACTGATCGCCACACCCCGCTACCTGTAATGCAATTGTGTGTTCGTTTTTCTGTTTCCCTCTCCAGACTTCAGGTTTCTGAGAGTAGGAACTGCTTTATTCACTTCCTGATTCCCAGTACTCAGTTGTTTTGGGCACAAAGTGGGTGTTCACTGAATTTTTTTTTTTCCATGGCAAGTGAGAGAGTAAAGCTCAGTGGGTAAAAGCTTAATGTCCTTCCACTCTCCCTCCCTCACAGACACTGGTCTGTTAGGATGCAGCACAGCCTTAGGTACTTGAACATTCTTGGTGGTAAGGTGTAATTGTCCATGCGTCCTCTGGCCTGGCACCCTCCCCTCAAGCCAGGCAGAAAAAAATGGCAGCCATCCCCACCCCCAGCATTACTGTCAGAGCCACATATGATTATTGTCTATAGCATCTGGATTTTTTTTCACTTCCACTGAAGCATATATGGACCCCCATCTAGGTCTTCCTAGGCCTGTCCAATTGGAGAGTCATATTCTTCATGATGTCCACTCCCCCATCCAATACCATTGTACTGGAGTTCCTAGGACACTCAGAATTGCCCCAGAACATCTGAAGCACCATATCTTGTAATCTGGCTCAGAAGCCTCCAGGAGTAACTAGGCATCAAATCTGGCAAAAATCCATTGGGTGGCAAAGGCCCTTCCTGCTACCCAACTTCCCCAACTACACATGCTTTCAAATACCTCCAGATCCCACCTCCTCTCTGTACCTTCCCCATAGGCTAGGAAAGCTTCAATAAGCAAAATGGTCAGATTCATTTATAAAAACAACAACAGCAAAAATCCAAAACACCAAAAAATGAAGACTAAAGCCATACCCTTTGTGGTGCAGGTCACATGCCTGCCTACCTGCTCTGCTTGCCTTGTACCAAGAAGAAAATTGTAAACATAAAGCAACTGTTGAAAAGAATAAAAGAAAACATAGAATGCCTCTCAGAATCTTGATAAGAGAATATACATCAGGCCAGTCATTCAAAACCATGAGTTTGAATGTTTATACTGCTCTGACCCCTTATGGACTTTCTTTCCTCATATATAACCTGGGAAAACCAGAACTATTGATGGCCTGAGGAAGATGCTTAAAGGGCTGGCCCCAGGCATTGGCAATGAAAGAGCTGTGGGTTTCTTTTTTTTTTCCAAGTTGTGGAAATGTAATGTTTTTTTTTTTTGTTTGTTTGTTTGTTTGTTGTTTTAATTAGTTACACATGACAGTACAATGATCTTGACATATCATACAGAGCTGTGGATTTCTAATGGGACAGTGCCATCCATTCCAGATCACCAGCATGCACAGATCTTGGGAGTGAGGGAGGAACCCTGCTTTAGGTCTAGTAGGCTATAACTTCTAGGATTTCATCCAGAAATAAGGAGAGTAAGTTCTAAGAAACTAACTAGAGGTGGAAACCTCTCTCTCTAACTTCCCTCTGTGTAGACAGGGCTTTTTGGTTTTGGTTTTTGTTTTTTCCCCTGTGCTGGGGATTGAATCCAGGGCCTCACTCATACTAAGCAAGCACTCTGTGGTGAGCTACATGCCCCAGCCCAAGTACAGGGTTTTGATTCCCTTCAGAAAGTCACTGTACACTGTTGCTTTCAAAAGAAGAGGGAGAGAGATTCCAAGGAGGAGGTGTGGACTCTGAGACTGCTTCATTCGAGTCTTGTAGATTGGACTTTGGAATATGGAGATAGAGGAGGCCAGTGCTTTCTCTTGGAGGCTGCTCAGGCTGGTGGGCCTGCATGGTTATACTGTGTTTTTCCTTTTCAGGATGCCATTCTAGAAACTTTCCTCTGAGCCACCTTCTAGGCCCTGCTGGCACCCTGTCACCTCCCCGTGCTATCTTCCTT